CGTCCAGAAATGACATGTGCATCAGGAGAGGGGTGGCTGGGGGGGGGGAAGATTGAGGAGGTTCTCGGGAGGGCAGGGGCCACATCAACGGCTTTGGAGCACAGAACGTCCACATCTGGCAGTAAAGGGGGGAAAAGAGAACGAGGGTCAAAGGTCTCACCTATATTGGGATGATTCAAAACCTTCATTATTCGCACTTCCCGGAAGAGCTGAAGAAACAGAAGAACAGAGAACAGCAAGGTCAAACGTGCAGAGCGCTACAGTGGCTCTTATTGTTGTACTCAAAAAGTACGTCTCGGGGAGCGCCATTCCCCGCAGGCAGTACATTGTCGTACTCAAAAAGAGCGACTCTCTGGCTCTATTCCCTTGCAGAAACTTGCTGGAAGCGATGCCCCCCCCTGGGAGGTCTGGTCTACATTCCGGCTATAAGTCGCCAAAGATCATGTTTTTCCAACGCCTTGGGCTAAGTCGGAACTTGCTCTCTCCCTTCCTCCCACATCTTTGTTCTCTCTGGATTAGACATTTTTAAGGATAATGTGTTACAGCAATCCGTTAATTAAAAAAAAGGCAATCCGATTGCCTGTAATGAGCCTGGGCAATAAGCTGCTAATAAGTCAGCCAAGGGATCACTATGGGGGGTGGTGGTGGAGGAATTGGGGGAAGGGTGCATCTATATCCCTCTACGTCTTTCTCCCTGGTCAGAGCTTCAGACAAGAGACCAGGTTCACACCTGATGGTGAATGGAAGGGGTCCAGGATTTTTACTAGAATGATTTTCCCTACAGAAATCTGGAGATGGGAGAGTTTGCTCAGGATCTGGTTTCTAAACATCAGACTCCGGGCTTCCCACAAGCCCTATAAGGCAGGTTCCCCCCCCCCCGAGGTGTTCCATCACTTTAGCACAGCGGCTTCTAATCTTTTCTCACTTGCATACCCCCTGGCATAAGGGGTACCACCTGTTTTTCATAAACTGTATTAGCAAAAGACATTTGCAATTAATATGGTTGCTGTTTTGAATTCATATATTGTAACTGTAAAACAAACAATCCAATAATGGGATTAAAAAGCAACGGAATAATAAGGTGAACAGGCAGTGCGTAGATACTTACATTCAAGAGTCAAAAGACACAATGAATTCAAGGAAATACATCACAGAAGACTCACTCACTGAACATTATTTCCAGGACAGACTGGGGTGCTCGCTTACATAAACACTGGTACCAGTATGATGGCACTCAAATGTTTGAGAAGCAGAGAAGAGTGAAAGCTGAGTCTGGGGGGGGGGTATTCTCACTTGCATACCCCTTGGCATAAGGGGTACCACCTGTTTTTCATAAACTGTATTAGCAAAAGACATTTGCAATTAATATGGTTGCTGTTTTGAATTCATATATTGTAACTGTAAAACAAACAATCCAATAATGGGATTAAAAAGCAACGGAATAATAAGGTGAACAGGCAGTGGGTAGATATTTACATTCAAGAGTCAAAAGACACAATGAATTCAAGGAAATACATCACAGAAGACTTAGAAGAACTCACTGTACATTATTTCCAGGACAGACTGGGGTGCTCGCTTATATAAACACTGGTACCAGTATGATGGCACTCAAATGTTTGAGAAGCAGAGAAGAGTGAAAGCTGAGCCTGGGGGGGGGGTACTGCTGAGCACACACACTGTAGAGGCATGTTCACAACACATTGTCTAGAGAAGAACTTTTGACTTGCATCTTGTCTTACACTGTTGATACATGTACCTTTTACCACCTTTATTCAATTTCTTTCCATATACCCCTAAATGTCCCGGTTTGTACCTTCCGAGGGTACATGTACCCCAGGTTGGGGATCATGGCTTTCGTGAAATAAACAGAGAGGCTGGTGCAGACGGGAAAAGCCATGCCAGGCGTTGGTCAAGCCAATGCCCACATTACTGTGTGACGGGGAAGAGACATGCCACAATCCAGACTCCGGCTTGGCTAGATGTCCAGAAAAAGAGGGAGGAGAGGGGTCAAGGGGTTCTAGAAATGGAGGACATCCCGTTTCAGGGCACCCTGTTCTCTCCTAGAAAGGGGGCACTTGCGCCAAAGGCAGCTCCGGCCCAAAACGGCCGCCTCTCCTTGCGCCTCTCGAGGTGCCCGGTGTCAGGGCCATGAACACACCCTTTGCTTAGCCTTCTGACTACGATCCGCACGGCAGCTCGACCGTAGGGGATCTGGTTACCCTCAGATGTCAGAGTACTCTTAAAATAAATAAAAACTTTAAGCCAATACAGTGGACCCTCTACTTAAGGAATTAATCTGTATTGGAATGGTGGCTGCAAGTCGAAAAGTCTGTAAGTCGAATCTCCATTGACCTACAATGCACTGAAAACCGATTAATCCCATAACCATTGGTTTTTATTCTATTTTTATTCCATTTTGGTTTTTTTCTGGTCTGTAAGTCGATTCTCTGGCTGCAACTCGCCGGGCCCAAAACGGCCGCCTCTCCTTGTGGCTCTTGAGGTGCCCGGTGTCAGGGCCATTTGCTTATCCTCCTGAAGGACTGCTGCCCCCCATGTGTTTTTTTCAAGACTGGTCTTGGAGGCTGCGTTCTGGGTCCACTTGATGTTTTAAAGGAGACCGATGTGATTCTCTGGCTGCAACTCGAATCTAAATTTTGCAGCCAGAGAAGTCTGTAACTCGAAAAGTCTGTAAGTCGAGCCGTCTGTAAGTCGAGGGTCCACTGTACTCCTGAAGGACTGCTGCCCCCCCACGTGTTTTTTTCAAGACTAGTCTTGGAGGCTGCGTTCTGGGTCCACTTGATGTTTTAAAGGAGACCGATGTGAGTAACAGGGGAGCTGGGATAGCTTCTACGGCACCTGGGCGTCAGAGCATTTTAATGGGAAAAACTGACTTGGGCCCCTATTTCTTCTGATTTTCTAGGAACTGTGTTGTTCAAGATGACCCTCCTGGAAAGGCTGAAGCCACCGCCAACCCAACTGCCTGCTATTTTCCTGCTCTGGTTTGTCGGCAGTGCAATGGAATGATCTGGCCTTGGGAAAATGTCGCTCATGCGTGTTGTGTGTCTGTCTGGGAGGGGTTTCCTCTCCACCAAACCAGCTCTGTCAGTTCTTCACAGCAAGACCTGTTTTTCAGTTCCTGGCCTGTTCTTATTTTCCAAACAGGAGAAGATCCATCTTTCTCTCTGAGAGATTCTTCTGAATTTCATCTTCAGAGATCATTACTATTCCGGGATAAGACGGCATCAGAGGGTTTCCCAGGACGTGCCATTATCTATACCCCAAATCATTTTGCACAGCATCTAAGACTAAAGGACCGCTTAAATAGCTTCCCACGGGCTTCTGTATTTGCACCCAGGGAAGATGCGGTACAATCCCCAACCATCAGGCCTGCGGTCAAAACCACAGAGATACGCGTTAGTTGCAGACAGAGTTTCTACAAGACCCCCAGACTGCAGGGTGCTTCTGTGTTTCCAATAAATAAATAAATACACAAGCAAATAAATAATCCCCCCTTTCCTCTTTGCTTTGCTCCATGGCAATTAAGTTGCTGGCAGGCTCCCTAAGAACTGTTCCTGGTGAGAGATCTATAAATTACTTCTAAATCTGTGGCGGCAAGGAAGCATCTGGAAGTACGGGAAAGCTGGCAGGCGTCAGATGGTCAGATACTTAGACTCCCCAAGTGGCCGCTTAAGCTGCAGAAAGTCCAGCCTGAATGCCCACTGGGCCAATGTATAAGTGGAAAGTGCCTTCTATCCCAGGGGCTGATGATGCCTTCCTTCCTGCCGGTTCCCTTCTTTGTTTTCTCCCCTAAAACAGAGGCGGGCAGGTTGAGTAGTTGCAGGGGCTAACACTGTTCCTCTTTGGGTTGCAAACTTCCCAGACAACCATCTAAATGCTTCATGTATGAATTGAATGGCTGGGACCTGGATGCAAGGCAGCCGAACCAAGCTCCGTGTATACTATAACCCAAAAAAGTTGGAAAAAGAGACACATTTAACTAAGCCCACGGATTAGTGGCTATTAAATGTTTCATGTATGAATTGAATGGCAAGGCAGCCGAACCAAGCTCCGTGTACACTATAACCCAATAAAGTTGGAAAAAGAGATGCATTTAACTAAGCCCACGGATTAGTGGCTAAAATAATGCAAGTCAGTCAACCCCACGTCCATCTTTGTATGAAACACAATAACGGCTACGAATCTAAAGGTTTAACTTCAGGATGGGACACGACACTCTCAAGATGATGTTTGGATTACACACCACTTGTCCTCCTTCACCTCCAACTATGTCGCTGGCTGGGGCAGATGAAAACCTGGCAGTCCAAAAACATGCAGTGTGCCACACAGGGTGGATAAAAATCAATGATTTTTAAAATTAAGATTTGTTTAAATCTCCATAGCTTTTTTTTCCTTAATAAATGTTTTAAATATAAATCATTAAAAAAATCCGATTTTTAAAATTTAAATCGTGACTGAAATAAATTTGATTTAAATGAAATCCACCCTGGAGCCACATATTTCATGCTCCTGGCTAAACTCTGCCATTCTCGGTGCCTATGGATCAGAGCCACACACCCACCCCATCGATAGGCTGGCACAGTCCAAAAACATGCAGTGTGCCACGCAGGGTGGATAAAAACCAATGATTTTTTAAAATTCAGATTTGTTTAAATCTCCATAGCTTTTTTTTCCTTAATAAATGTTTTAAATATAAATCATTAAAATAATCCGATTTTTAAAATTTAAATCGTGACTGAAATAAATTTGATTTAAATGAAATCCACCCTGGAGCCACATATTTCATGCTCCTGGCTAAACTCTGCCATTCTCGGTGCCTATGGATCAGAGCCACACACCCACCCCATCGATAGGCTGGCGTAACCAGTCACAGGGCGGCTGTGTTCTCCTGATCTCCGAAGGGCCACTGAGGGGGGAAGACCTAAACTGTTTGCAAGAGGACTGCTAACTAGCAGGGGGTTAACAACAAGAATGAGACCACACTGCTGCTACCCCAGGTGGTGATACTCTCCTTAACACACTGTGGCATGTCACTTCCTCATTTAACCATGGTGAGAGGGAGGCATCAGTGCAGGGAAGATGATGGAGGAGAGGGGGGGGG